ACACACACACACACACACACACACACACATGCACACACTCACATGCACACACTCACACACACACGCGACAGCTTCACTCTGCTGTTGCCACTTAAAGCAGAAGGTCTGGTTTCAATTGGTTGGAATATAAATATACAAAGTGCAGCTTTTTAAAAGAACATTATTGAGTGTGTTTAATATACTGTGCCTCAGGAAGTCTCTGCTGTTTCTGTTTCGAGGGACGTAAAGTCTGATCGCTGATATTTCCTTTGAGATCGTAGCTCTTGATGGCTTTGATCAAGCGTTTGTGTTGTTCTGAATGTGAAGCTCGCTGCCAGCGGCGGCATGCACTGATGTGTTTTGTGTTTGAGGGCATCGCTGGCGTCTCGGCTCACTTCAGATAAGACCTGTCCCGAGCAAAAACACTAAACATGCAACTGATCATAAAACACATTTAATTGAGAATTCAGTCGTGTTGTTTTCTCTTTGCTGTCAAATGTTCTCTATGGAAGCTCGTTTCCACTATGGGATAAAAACATTAAAAAGGTAATTTTGACTTTTTATGTCACAGTTCAGACTTTTTTCTTGCAATTGAATTTACATCTCTTAAGTTTTTTTTTATTTATCTTGCAATTCTTTTTTGTTTTTTTAAAGGTAATTGTGACTTTTTATCTCACATTTCTGACTCTTCTTAGAATTGTGAGTTTATATCGCACAATTCTGAGTGAAAACATCCTGCAGTCAGTAATGTGCTCTTTTATTTATACTATTTATTTCCTTATTATTTGTTTCAGTTAATTTTTTTAATAAATATTTAATTTTATTTAATTTTATTTATTTAATTTTATTTTATTTTTAAAAAATATATATTTTATTTTATAATCTTTTTTTTTTTTTTTTTTACTTTATTTTATACATTACTTTTTATGCCTGTAAATTATTTTAGCTGTGGCTTTATGTAATTAATTTGGCCTTTTTCTTTGTCAAAGATCCAGTAATCAGTATTTTTTTTTTTAATACTTTTTCTTTCCTTATTGTTTGTTTCATTACATTTTTTAAATCATTTTTTTTTTACTTACACATTCATTTTTATGCCTATAAATTATTTTAGTTGTGGCCTTTATGTCTTTAATTTTGGCTTTTTCTTTATGTCAAATATCCTGCGAGTCAGTAATGTGCTTCCATTCTTTCCTTATTTGTTTCCGTCTATTTTTAAAATAAATATTTTATTTTATTTTATTTTATTTTTAAAATCACATTTTTTATTATTATTATTATGCCCATAAATTATTTTAGCGGTGGCTTTTATGTTTAATTGTGGCTTTTTCTTTATGTCAAACATTCTGAATAACTCTTGTGTTTATAATGTGCTATAAAGATGATCTTGTTTTGTCTAAATCGTCCATTAGCTCTTAATGTGTTTGCAGATGATCAGCAGTCCATGTTGACAGAGTTTGTGTGTTTTCTGGTTCAGGTACTACATTCTGGAGAACCGTCCGCGTAACATCTATGGCATGGTGTGTCACTCCTGTCAGAACGCTCCTCGAAACATCAAAGAGTGTAAGACCATCTCATCTCCAGCTGTCTCTGTCTGTGCGTCTCTTTGCTCGATTTGATTCACAGTTCTGTTAAACGCTTCCACTGCCGTTCTCGAGGCCCACACACAGTTTAGCACAGAATACAGATTCACTAAAGCAAACCAAACCCAAAGCAGGACCCAGATCTGACCGTGCTTGCATGAGCACAGAGTTCCTGTAATGAAACCAGCAGCGGTTCATCAATAAAGCGGCGCTGAGGAGCTCGGGCCGTCTGGACTCCATCAGCCGCGTGTTTGCGGCGCAGGAGGGTTTTTCAGATTTATGTTCCTTCTCTTGGCCTGGCAGATCGTTCATAACACGCTCGAGTCTCTGATTAGCGACGCATACCTGAAGCGCTGACTGCATGGAAACCCGCGCAAAACCTGCAGATTTAAGGCCGCGTAATGCGCTAAAACATTACCCCAAGTAGCAGCGGCGATTCCTCATTTCTGAATCAGTGCCGAAAATAACCACATCTGCTTCCCATTCAGGTTTTGGGGTCTGATTTTTATTTGTGATGAAATGTCACCGTTTGTGGAAGAGAGGGAAACTAATGAACTCCAGCTTTGACCGACCGAGAGAGAGCCAAGCTCTTTATTGTTTTGTTTTGCTAATTTCTTCTTTTTCTAAAATCTCCGGCCATCAGATGTTTCTTCAGAACGAGAGTGGAAGCTCTGATGACCAGCAAAAGCTTCTTACACCAGTCATTTCAGCAGAACAGACAGATTTCTAAAGAAAACCAAGCGAACTGAGCAGACCGTCATTGTTGTGGCAAATAAATATTTTCACATGTAAATCTAAAAGCAGAAACTCTGTTTCGGACAAAACTGTGACACTTTACACACTATTTCACTTGCATTTCTCTAGTATGCTTCCTAATCTAATAGTCTAATAAACTTAGCATTGTATATCACAAATATTGTTGGCTCTTTGACAAATTTATTTTATTTTATTATTTTTTATTTATTTATTTAATTTTAATTTTATTTATTTTATATATATATATATATATATATCCAGATATATTA